AAATGTGTATTTCTCCTACATGAAACATAACAGACATTTAATAGTTTCTGAATGAGGAAAATAGATTAAAATATGATTTTTAGATGTAAAACTATTAATTTATTATAATTAGAATTTATTTACATTGAACATTTATAATTTTTCTCTAATTATCATTTGCCTCCTTCTTGTTGGTTCTGTCAGATTAAAACATTGTTCTGACCTCTTCTCAGATCTGCTGCTGTGTCTTTTTTATTTTAGTTTTTATTTCTTCATTTTGAACCTTTTTTCTGCTCAACAAATAACTTTGAGCCTTGGTGAGAAAAAACTGGAGCTTTTATACTTCTGACCTGAGAGGAGGAGGAAACGGTGGATTTAGCCCCGCCCCCAACACACGCATCAAATCAGACCACCTTTTAAAATAATTAAATGTAACATATACTTTTATCAAATCTTCAGATCTACTTGTCCTAAGAACACATTTTAAAAACTGGTTTAAAGTTTGAAGTCTCTACTTTTCACTGGAGTCAGAGAGGGTGGATCTTTACAGGTAGAGTTTTTTCTTCCTAAACTTTATTTAGATCAGCCAGCATTGACAACGCTCTGCAGGTGACGTAAACATCTCCACGACATGGACGGATGCATAAATCACATGACACAACGAACTGATGATGAAATTTGTTGCCAACACTTTAAATAATGGATTTTTATGAATTTTATGGATTGACTGTTGCAGCCCTGGCTGAGTGTTTCCTGTTTGTYTGATCAGTCCTCAGTAACCCTGACTCCTCCCACAGAGGACACTGAGCCTGCTGGCAGCCACACAGAGGGTGGAGCTTCCTTCACATTAGRTTTTGTCCTTTCACTTGCAGTCTCTGCGGTGCTTAGGTTAGCTGAGCTCTCCCTGCTCCCACACAGGCCTACATTAGCCTGTGTGATGCCTCCCAGTATGCTGATGATGTGAAGGACAGTGTGTGCAGGGAATCACTGGTCTGCTGCAGCTCCACCCAGGTGAACAAGGACYCCTCAGAGCATTTAAACCATGGCAKACCAGCTGAGTGTTACTGAGAGGCATCCTGCAGCTGAAAGCAGGGGGTGGGGGTGACATGTTGACGTGTTGCCTGCATGAAAGGCTGTGAACAGTGCTCTCCACCCTGACAGCAACTTTTACAACTCATCCTGCACCAAGAGGAGGAAACAAGCAGGCTTCTTACTGAGCTCTCTATATCCTCAGAGTTGAGTTTAGCCTGGATGGCAGAGAATCCTCCCAGCTCTCCAAACTGTAACACAAAAACACAACGATCACACAAGTCAGGCTGATGGAAAACATTCAGCAGAAAACACAGCAAACAACACGTTCATTACTCACTCGATTAACTAAATCCACCAGCCAGCCATGAGGCTCCTGAAAGACAGAGCACAGCATCAGTCAGCACATGACGACAGCTGGTTCTCACACACACATGCAGTGGTTTGGTTTCTGTCAGTCACACTGAGGCCAGCAGCTCTGTCACACAAACAGGGCTCATACAGCTTTCAGTAAGTTCAATTTAAGACCTTTTCAAGACTTTTTAAGACCATTAAGACTGACATTTAAAGACCAAACCGATGATAAACAGAAACATTCAAATGGTCCCAGACATTTTAACATGAAAACCTTTTATTGCTATCACTTTTAAAGAATATTTAATTTTAATACAAGAACACTAAATTATTTTAATGAACCATCATATGTATGAGACCTTCATATTGACTGCTGTGTAGGAATCACTGAGATGAAGCTGAGTCTCACTGGAAACACACGTTCCCATGATCAAACATCAAACAGTGGACATGACTGAACTTTGTGTGTCTTTGTGCAGGTGAACAAGTCACCACATGCAGGGGGTTGTAGTGGAAAAAAGGTCTAAAACATGGAAGTAAACAGTGCTGCTTTTTACCTGCACTTATTCAGGATTTCTAGTTCAATCACGTACCAAGACCGGTAGCAAACTTAGCACTTCACTGTGTGATTACGGTACTTTAATCTGTTTATTTCTGCAGAAAACACTTCTCAGAATGATCAAAAGTAAAAAATTAAGACTTGACAGAATTATATGTAAGAGCTTGGATGTAAATCTGGTGTTTTTAAGACTTTTTTAGGCCTAAAATTTAGATTTTCAAATTGGAGACTTTTTCAGAGCCTGCATGAACCCTGCACAAAGCTGAGGAGAACACTGGCTCACTTGTCCCTGAACTTCCTGTGAACATGAAACCAGGTGAGGAGCAGCAGGTGTGTGAAGGACAACCCTCTGCTGCAGCAGGAGCACAGCACCAGTTCAACTCTTACTTTCTGATAGGTGTTACTGGGAGACACAGCAAACATGTTGGCTTCATCTCCAAACACCTCGGCCCAGTTCCTCTGGCAGGACTTCATGCGGTTCTTGAAGTGGTACTCGTTGTCCGGGTTCAGGGCCTGAGCAGAGACACAGCACTTAGAGGAGGACGAACTGAAACAATGATGTCACTAATCTGTGTGATTATGATGATGATGATGATGATGATGATGGGGGCCACACCATGGTCAGGACTCCCATCAGGGTTACAGGGACAGGGTTCTGCTTGACCCGCTCAGCCACCAGCTCCACCAGCAGCATCAGCATGTTGTAGATGCCCTCGTGGATCTCGGTGCCCCACTTGTGCACGGCGCTGCTGGTCAACAGCTGACAGAGAGGAGGAAGTCAGGGAGGGTTTCAAACACACAACCACAGGTCCCTGCAGGTCCAAGAACTGATTGTGTAAGAATAATCATCTTGTTTTCAGAATGTGTAAGATTATTTGTCGTTAGTCTGAAAATTTGACTCAAATTAAGTCAAAAATTTCTGCCAGTGGAGTAAGAAATTTTTACTTGGTAAGATTCTTGAAATACTTGATTTGACTCAATTTTTTCTTATTTCAAGAATCTTACCAAGTAAATTTTTCTTACTCCATTGGCAGAAATTTTGACTTAGTCTGAAACTTTGACTCAAATTAACAAGAAAAATAATCTTACACATTCTGAAAACAAGATTATTATTCTTACACAATCAGCTCTTGTTTAGTAAATCAGTCTCAAAACAAGATCAAAAAGACTTTTTTGGCTGATATAAGAGTTTAAAACTTGGTTAAGTGGACAGTTTTTGCAGTGCACCTGTTCTCCCATGTTTGTTATGCTCTGTCTTCTTGAATGGCTGCTCTGAATGTAATGTCATTGTGCCCTGTACGATGACAATAAAGGTCTAATCTAATCTAATAAAGGCCCTGTCACTACAATGTTTTAGACAACATGTGAATTTTTTTATGTCTGACAAATAAAAGTTATATATTCAATTAATTAGCTAGCATTAAAAAGAGGCTTCTAGTTGATTTTTTAAACTCCATCTTCACCACAGATGTCTTTAAAATGTTCKCAAGTTGTCTAAAACATTACAGTGTGACAGGGCCTTAAACAACAAATGTGGAAAAATATCTATACTTTTTGTTTAAAGGGGCAGTATTGTGTGTTTCTCAGGCATATATTTAAATACTATAACATAATAAAGTATGTTTTAGTATTTAAATACATGCCTGAGAAACACGTCACCTTTAGCTGTTAGTAAAATGCTGTTTTTCTATAAATAAATCAAAAGTAAATTTGACTTGTCATTATAATGTCTGTAAACACCTTTGTCTCTTTAAGAACCTCCTGATCCCGTCATCACTCAGATTCATGAGTTGTTTTTCAGCTTACCTGGGCAGGTAACACTGTTTGTGTCCTTCTGAGTGTTGCTGCGTTGTGTTGTACTGATAATCTGGTTGGTTGTCCACTGATAAACTCAGAAAGCTATCATCAGTGAAGTGGCTCACACAAATATAACAACGGTTTTCACCGGAGAGTTCCTTCCAACCATTTTTTAAGAACCGTGAAGAAAAGAGGGCAGTCCTCAGACGTGTTTTATATTTTATCCTTTAGAAAATGTAATAAGGAGCAGAATCTGAATGCTACTTGTGTTCCATCCTTTCACATTTACCCACAGCAGGAATCACATGTTGTATTATTTGTTGTGTTTTTAAATGAACAAATGAATAAAGATGTTGAACAGAAAATAAATCTTACCTTTTTAAAGGCCTCAGGCATGCAGCGGTCCATGAAGCGTTTGCAGTTCTCATCAGCATCAGTGAGACCTGACAACACACACGATGAACACACACATACACTAAATGTAAAAAGACTTGTGTTTGTCACATGTGTAACCATGTGTCCATGTGCAGAGCAGCCAGCCATGAGYCAGATTAACCCTTACCGTGCCGGGCCAGGCAGCTGGAGGCGATCAGACACTTGCCCAGGGACTCCTCTCTCTTGTAGGGGATGGACCAGTGGTCAGTGAAGACACGACTCTCCAGCTCGTACAGGTTGGTGGTGGGAAACTCCATGCTGCCCCCTGAGCAGTTCCCATTCTCATCACTGCCTCTCTGCAACAGGCACAGGTCATCATGTGTTAGCTACACTTAGACACAAGGTCAGCTCTGCTTCTTGTGTGACCCTGTGAGTGACGCTGGCATGATGCTAACAGCCTCTGCTAACGCTAACAGCTAACAGGACTGTCTGATTCTTGTCTGTGTGGAGGAGAAGTGTGTCCTCTGCTCTGCTGTCTGCCCTTCATCAGTGCAGGAACGGCCCACCTTTAACAAACACCTGCCCACTGAGCAGCTGTGAGTGAGTGAAGAACATCAGCACACCTGCACAGTCCTACCTGCACACATGTTTCAGCTGCTCTGCTCAGTGCACACCACAGGTGAGGACAGGTGCTCTTCTGACACAACCTGGGCTCAAACTGATGCACTGAGGTCAACTTTTCAGTCTTATCAATTTCATTATTGCTGTTATTGACAACTGATATTTACCAATATTACACAAACACACAAATTATTTATATTATACACACAAACACACAAATTATTTATATTATACACACAAACACACTTGGGTCTCTGATACAGTAAACAAAGAAGCAGACCTCTGACATGACTCTACTTCAGTTATTCCTGCTGCAGCATCAGTACCACTATCATGATCAAACAGATGTTCAACCAAAGAGCTCCCAGAATACAAACACAAACACAAAGATAAACACAAACACAAACACAAAGATAAACACAAACACAAACACAAAGATAAACACAAACACAAACACAAACACAAAGATAAACACAAAGACAAACACAAACACAAAGATAAAGATAAAAAGGGTGAAATAATTATTGGACGTTAATATCAGCTAGGGCTGAAATGATTCCTCAAATAATTCAAGTAATTTGATTATAAAAATCCTCGAGGCTAATTTCTCTACAAACTAAACAGAAAAGACGACAACATGCAATGATCTGCACAACCTCAGTGTTTCTGCACCGCAACACAAACAGCTGCTGCATGACCCGAACACATCTGGAGGTAACAACAGGTATTTGTTTACGTTCACTTGGTTCCCTAAATCTGTGATAATCTGTCAGATTACACATGTACCTGTATAAGGAGGAGGTATATTTAAACTAACATTATTTGTGCTGACTAATCATGGTGACCTGGCAGGGTTTAATTAAACAGTGTGTAAGTTGTGTGATTAAAAACAACACTTACTGTAAGTTTGTCAGATAAAAATAAAAACACAACAACAGATCGACAGCTGGAGCTGAAACATGTTTATTTGTTGATGACTTTATCTTAGTTTAAACGATACTTGGAGTAAATATTTCAAGTTTAAAAGTATTTATAGAAGATAGTTGGATTTTTTTATTATTTGCTGCTGCTTTTTATGACTTTAGCCTTCATTACTACTGTTACATTTGTTCATAGCTAAACAGTCAAGACTAAATCTTTTATTGCCTAAATGTAAGCCCTGAATCAACCTAATAACTGTCTAAAATATGTTTTTGTTTCAATTAACAAGTGAACTCTACAAAACTCAACTGCAACACCCAAATGTTTATATTACTCATTTTACTTATTAAATTTATAACAAAAAAATATTCAGTTTTCCAATCCATAAGAATAAATTTACATTTATTTGTTCAGTGATGTTAAAATGATTCAGTGACAGAGTGTTTTTAATTAATGCCTCCTCAAACCACACACACATAAATACAAACAACTGGAGTTTAAATACATTAATTAATACAACTGATATTATAATTTTACTTTGATTGCAGCAGGGTCATCAGCAGGTGTATATTGCCCCTTCACATTATTAAATTATTGTATTTCTCATAAAATAAGCTTAAATATAATTACTGTAGAACATGACAATTTTTTTATATCTGATTACTGGATTAATCGTCAGAATAATCAATAGATTAATGGATTAGTAAAATATCTGCAGCCCTAATATGAGCTCAGTTTTACACACTGGACTGATGTCTGACTCAAACACAGTGTCAGGATCACAAACCACAGAGCTGACCAGTGACTGACCACAGCTGCTTCCAGTCCAAGTCGTATTAAAAAGCCTGTGAATTTATGTTGGACTGACTTCAGTAAATARAGACAAGTTACAGTGATGCTTCAGAGTCTGGGCTGAAGGCAGCAGCAGACAACTGATTATTGAATTATTTACCTCATCAGGTTGGTACATATTCATACAGGCAGTTTATTGAAGTGTAAACTGCAGTTTACTGAAGTGTAAACTGCAGTTTACTGAAGTGTAAACTGCAGCGCTGCAGTTTATTGAAGTGTAAACTGCAGCGCTGCCTGCTCTGAACCAATCATGTCCTTACAGTCATACTGAGGGCTTCGATACGAGACCCTCCCACTTTCATCTTTACATCATTATGATAAAGAAAACTAACTGTACACTGTGCTTGTTGCTCCAGTGATTAAAGATTAACACAACAACAGTTAGGCTGAGTGTCACTACCTGCACTACACATATTACAGTGTGATCAGTGTGTTCAGAGCCTGTAAGCACTGCTCACACACACGTGTGTGTGTGTGTGTGTGTGTGTGTGAGACAAGCTGATACACAGGAGGAGGCATCACATTTCACCTCTTCCCTTTCTAAGAAAATGAGAGCTGACAGGCAGGAGAGGGAGGGGCTGAGCCCGTACACAACAACATCTATAAAATCATTTTAAAAACTTTTAAATTCTGCTACAGTTAACAAATCACAACAATCATTTAGGATGAACACAACCTCATTTGTTTTAAGATTACWCAACATGTTTCTGTGATTTCAACACTGTTGGATCAGTACCAAGCCTGTCACACAGTGCAGCGTGTGTGGGGCTGGGTGTGTTACTGTGTGTGGGGCTGAGTGTGTTACTGTGTGTGGGGCTGAGTGTGTTACTGTGTGTGGGGCTGAGTGTGTTACTGTGTGTGGGGCTGAGTGTGTTACTGTGTGTGGGACTGTGTGTGGGGCTGGGTG